ATTAATCACCTAATTTGCATAATTAGTTAATTTTCAGCTTTCCCACTGATACCTCAACTACTAATCATCACATTTCAATGGAAACTTTGAACATAGATACTCTAGGACCATGCAGAGATCCATTGTTTTGGAGTAAATATTTGTGCATATTAATCTCCTAATTTGCATAATTAGTTAATTTTCAGCTTTTCCACTGATTTCTCAACTACTAATCATCACATTTCAATGAAACTTGGTACATAGATACTCTAAGACTATGCAGAGATCAATTGTTTTGGGTGAATATTTGTGCATTAATCACCTAATTTGCACAATTAGTTAATTTTCAGCTTTTACACTGATATATCAAGTATGAATCATCTCATTTCATGAAACTTGGGACATAGATCCTGTAGGAGACCTGACTTAGTTTTGGGATTACTAATTATCTAATTCGCATAACTAACCAACTTTCAACTCTCAATAACATTTGGTACATAAATGCTCTAAGACAATAGACAGACCTGATTAATTTGGAGTTACAATCTGTACATATTAATTTTCTAATTTGCATAATTAAATAAATTGTAAGCTTTCACACTGATATCTACAGTACTAATTATTCAATTTCAATGAAACTTAGTACATGTATGCTCTAGGGCAATGTGCAAACCTGATTAGTTTTGGGTTAAAATCTATTATTTCCATAATTAGCATAATCATTTATAATTTTTTGGTTCAAATCACATTTCAATGAAACTTGGTTACATAGATGGTCTGTTACATTGTCTCTTGTCTCCAATACTCTCAGCACACAGGAGTTCTTTCTAAGCTTTTTTTTGATTATTAAAATGTGCTTACATTATTACTCTTTAGAGATTGGTCATAACAGAAAGTCTGGGTACGATAAATTTTGAGAAAAAAGTCAGCACAGATTATTTTGTAAAAAAATTACATAAACTATGTATAATATAATATCTATAATATGGATGAGACACCACTGCGATTTGATATGCCAGGTAGGCGAACACTTGAGCACAAGGGTGTAAAAACCATCCATATAAAGACGAGGAGTTCCTGAAAAATCACTCCCGTTCTCACAGTCACAGCGGAAGGCAAAAAGACCCGCCCACTGATTATATTCAAGAGAAACCACCGACTCAACGAACTCACGAACTGAAAAATAAAAGTCAAAGTTCAGGGGAAAGGCTACATCAATGAATCTTTAAGTGTTTAAATTACTTTTCCAAATTTATTACTTTGATGCGAGTCTGATGTTCACATCATAGAGGTCAACCCTGAGTCAAGATGGTTACTCTATGTAGACAAACTACATGTCTGTTCATTCTAGAAAAAAGTTAAGTCAGATGTCATGTTTTATTTATTTCGCCGTATTTAAATTTTTGCCAGGTTTATTTCTTTTTTCCTTTTTATTTCAACTTGTTTGTCATGGTCAAGAAAGACCTGTCTACTGTCTACTTATGTGGGATTCATGCAGCGTTCACCTCGCTCCATAAGTCAAAGATATTCCTGTAGATAGCTTGACGTCAGTCCTTCAGGCATTAGATGTTGGCACTAAAAGATCACATGTATGCCCAATGGGATGAATGGATGAAGACCAGTTACGCTGTATTTACAACTGGCCGGAAAACGCATAGACCCAACTAAGACTGTACTGGTATTTGGTTGTCACATCCTGGGATAAAGTTCCATCTTAAACCTGGTTTACGAAGATCTTGAGACAGACGATGAAGTTTGGTGAAGAGATTGCTGATATATTTTTCAGTGACGACATCAATGAAGATTTTCTTTGGTTTTAAAATGAAAATCTATTGCCATGATATCGTGTGGAAACTTCCATACACAAAATCAACAGCCCTTTTCAAGGCCACCACATCTTCTCAAAAGAGTATATCGTTTACAAATAAATATCATGTATTGTATGTTTGTTTATTCGAATGTGTGTGATATTTGCTAGTTTAGTTTACACGCCAGAAGTATTGCGTGCATCTCATTAACTGTTGACATGTCTAATTTGCATATCCCAGCGCCATGTTATTTTTGCAATAGAAGACGCACACTAAATTTTAGTGATTTAACTAGAAGACGGAGTCTCACTTTTTAATTTAAACCGCTGCTACAATTACGAATTGTACGGTAGTCAACGTGAGATCCTACTACAATGGTAGGATGGAAAATGCATATAATACAGCAAATCTGCATTTCTGAAGAAAGCTATTGAAATAAACATAATTCAAAAAAATGTATACAACATTTGCATCTCAGTAGCAGGTTTTGTATTAGCCACGGTTACTA